CTCCAGATGTTGTTCAACTTCATCTTTTGCCACCCCAGTCTGCAGAGCCAAGGCTGAAGGATGCTGGGAACTGTAATTCAGCACCATATACAGATTGCCCACTCTCAGTATACCAATAACAAACTCATTCTTCAAATAAGGATCTTTCTACATCAACCTCATTCTATCCAAAAGCCTGGGGGAAAGCCAGATTTTTAAGGCCTTCTGGAGGGCTGAAAGGATGGGAGCCTGCCAGAACACAGTGGAGGGTGTTCCACAGGCAGGGGCTGCTACAGAAAAAAAGGAGATAAATCTTTTTCTATATGCAGTTGGTAATGCCCAGTGATTGTGAATTTTTTATGTATCAGGAAGGGTTGTTTTACAGCACTGGGAGTAGTTCCTTTTGGATGTAGGTTTTTATTGTTTTGTATGTTCTCATCAGCACTGCCGTGAGCAGCTCAGAGTTACGGCACATGAGATGAACGTCCATATGAGTCTCATAAGTAAATAAACATTGGCAGACTTAAGGGAAACCCAGAATTATAGTAAAATTTGAAGAGTAAAAAAATCCTCATTGCTTCCGTTACTATGTAGACCACAAGCTGTACTCCGTTACTTTGGCTTCTCTAACTATTTTTTCCTCCATATGTTTTTGTCTTTTATAGTGACAATTTCTGTCTCCCAACTGTCGTGTTTCCTTTTAATATAAGCTGACATACAATATTATAAGGAAGGCATAATAGCAGCAGTGAATCTTATAGCTGACAGTCTCTAGAACAAGAAATGTGGGTGTGCCTGATTCTACCATTTCAGTGGTTCCATTTGGTCCTCTCCTTTTCATTGCTCCTTTTTTCTTAATATTCTATCTCAATTCTGTAGAAATGTTTTGGTGTCTTCCTTGCAAATGTCTGTTAACTGGATTTATTTGAATATATTTTACAGATTCAGGAAAATACCTGGCAGTGGCTTCCCATGATAACTTTGTAGATATTTATAATGTACTTACCAGCAAAAGAGTTGGCATCTGCAAAGGAGCCTCTAGCTATATCACACACATAGACTGGGATTCAAGAGGTAAAACACAGTAAAACAAAGCACTTTATCACAGGCCTCTCTGTAGTCAAGAAGGTTTTATAAGCCCTTGAAGCACTGTAGAAGATCGTGTATTGTCCTTGACTTGTAATGAGAAATAGAAAAGAGTAGTTCTGTGAACAGTTTAAAAATCTAAAACTGTAAAATGATAATCTATAATTCAGCTTATAATAATCAGGGCTAGAGATCTGTGGATATAGTCTGTTGTCTATTCTAAACAAAAAACTATAATTAGTGAAAGATGGATGAGTAATGATTAAAATAGTATAACAAGATAAAGAGTGTACTCGCTGGCTGGTGTGGGTCTTCCGGGCTGTGTGGCCATGGTCTTGAAGTCTTGTTTCCTAACGTTTCACCAGCACCCGTGACCAGCATCTTCAGAGTACAGGAGCACAGACAGGAGCAGTTCTCTCTGTGCCCAGGGTGATGTGACCCTTCTGTGGGTA